ATATATATATATATATATATATCAATATAGATACTTGAATCGGTGTATTTGTTTTAATCGAAATTATGGAATCAATATATTGGTTATTTCTTTTAAATTTTAATAGAATCAGTACTCTTTCCTTTGGTTTACATGTTTGTCCCGTTTTATTTCGATCTCAACTGATATGGTCTATTTTTGATGGTGTCTCGTTTCGAACGGTTTTCAGACCGATTCATAAAAACGGGACAAAATACTGAGAAGTCAAATCCTGACCGTCCTTGACCACACCCAATAATTAACAGGCATTACTAATTTACTAATGCAAATGGAGTGGCTCTCGAGTCGTCTGGTGTATACTTTCTTCACCGTCCACGGCAACCAGCTCTCGCTAAAAAAGAAACCCTAAACTTGTTCGAATCCACCAAATTAATGTGGCTTACGCAATTTTTTCTTCGTATGATTCAAACATTTACCAGATGATGAAGATGGCTTACTTTCGCAGGTAACTTAATTTTGATTTGTGCTTTTCAACAGCTTCCGGTTTCTTTAATTTGATTTTGTCACTGGCGTTTGATCTTTAGTTTGATCAATACGTCCGTTTTTCTAGTTTCCTTCAAGTGATCAACACAGGACTTCTCTGAGCCGTTAGTGATAATTTATCGTTTGAATTAAAAATTTTGAAGTGTTGAGCTCCAGACCTACTTAGTTCAGTGAGCTAGACAAATATTTTATAGATATGTAGAAATTTGAGTTGAGTTATGTGAAGGGTCGTAGCGTGCAAGCAGCTACTTCCATGTAGAGGGAAAATACACAATTTTTAAATTCTTGTGTTGATGGATTGGCAAAAAAAAAAAAAAAAAATCGTTTTTTGCACAGTTCTTCCTTAATTTCTATATCTGTTACCAACAATGTTAATCTCTGTATTTTCTTTCTTGATTACAGTAGTGAACTAATTTTGAAGTTCTTATTTCATTAGCTAGTCGATGTTGATGCCTGTCATTACTCTGGTTACGCAATATTCAAGGGTGCTGTTTGTTGTCAGTATTCGTAAATAAAGTTGAAGATTTATTTACCCTCAAATCTGGACCGGAAGATCTTGGGCTAATGGATTGGTCTGAAAAGAATTTATGCATAAAATGCGATCAAGGCGGGAATCTGTTGGTGTGCAGTGAAAATGGCTGCCCATTGGCTATTCATGAAGGATGTATGGGCTTCCCAGCTAGATTTAATGATGTTGGCCACTTCTATTGCCCCTATTGTTTATACAAACAAGCTGTTGCAGAGTCACGTCAGGCAAGGGAATATGCTCTGGCAAGAAAGAAAGCCTTATTGGCCTTTATGGATGAAGATGTGATAGGCAGAGAAAAGCGCTCAGAATTAAACGAGGGAACTGAAGCTAATGGGCATAATCAATCGAAAGACAGTGAACCAAACGTAAATATTACAGCACGCGGTGGTGATAAAATATCTGGGAACAGTGATTCCATTAGGGAACAATCAATTGACCTTGGCGAGGAAGATGAAATCCGAGGTGAAGAAGATGGAAAGACTCAAGAAGAGGATATTGAAGCTTCTGCTGGCCCCAAAGATCAAGAACCTTCAGTTCAGATGCCCGAGGAACAAAATATCTGCAGTGGAAAAGAAATTGAAGCTTCTGCCGGCCCCAAAGATCAAGAACCTTCAGTTCAGATGCCCGGGGAACAAAATATCTGCAATGGAGAAGAAATTGAAGATGAGGTACATGAAGTTTCTGCAGCTTCCAGTAGTCAAGAACAAGGGTTCCGGAATGCAGAAGAAGAAAATAACGTTGAAGAAGAATGTGAGACTTCCTATGAAGTTAGTGATCAAGACTCACTTCCTTTTAAGGAAAGAGCCAAGAGAGCATTAAAAAGTAGAAAATCAATAAGCTCGTATTCTGAAACGGTATCGGTGGCAAGTAAGCATGATGAACAAAATGATAAATATAGGCAAACATCGCCAAATATGAACACTCCAAGGAGATCTTCAAGGAGGCTGTCTTCTGCTTCGAGAGCGAAAGAAGCTATAAATAAAAAGATTGAGGTTTCAAAAGGGTTGAAAAAACCTGGAAAAGTTGATGTTTCAAAAAGGCTGAAAAAACCTGAACTGCCCATTATGAAACTGTAAGTGCTTATTGTAATAAATGATATTTGATCTTTGAAATATTCCTCCTTTCTTTCTGTTTGACTTTATTGTGGATGGGCATGGAATCTCTTGCATAACTAGTGACACTATTGGCAGTGGGAAACGTAAGAGATTAGTATGGAGTGAGGAAGAAGAGGAGATGCTCAAGGTAAAATTTATTAAATCAATTGATTCTCTGTCTGTTGTTCAGTATTCATGTACTGGTAATATCGTAAATTCTACTCGTCAAATAAGTTCTACTAGTTGTTTATTTGTAAAACACAAATTTGTTAGTAATTCCTTTGTAATTTGAACCGTCATTCAATTTAGTAGCAGCTCTTTATTGGAAATCACTAGCTTGTACTTGTAAACTTAACTTTCTCTCGGCTCGACTTGTTGCAGGCAGGAGTAGACAAACATTTGAAGGGGCCAAGCAAAAATCTTCCTTGGAAAGAAATCTTGGAGATGGGTCGCAATGTGTTCGATAGAACTCGTACTCCATGTGATCTTAAGTATAAATGGAAGAGCATGATCAGGCATAAGAATTGAGCTCTGGAGCATCATATTTGTTTTACAATGCAAATAAGATATAGTAATTAGGTGTGGATGAAAGTCTCTGGAGATGATGGGTAGATCTTGGTTCTCATTCTGGTATAATGATTTTCTATCTACTGTTAGCGACTTTAACTAGTTTGTCCATCCGTTGGGGTGGTCAAGATTTTCCCCTGAAACCCCTCTGTGTAAATGTTCTTTCACAAACATTAACCAACAGCTTTTTGTTTTTCGCTGATAAACTACACTTGTTGCAGTTTATTAACAATGTCTGGCATTTAGCTCACGGAAATATTCTCATCTGCGGTAATTGTGTGTATGACATACCTGTACGTACCTATCCAGAATTTTATGTATTACATTGTGGAAGGAAGGATATACCGCATATACTTCCACAACAACTGAGATAGGGGATCACAGCTGGCAGCGAGAGCTAACGCTGTGGACAGAATTGGCATACGGTAGATCAACTGTTGATGAGTATCTGTGTTGAAACTTATTATCATGAAAAAGACCACATTATATGAGAAATATTATCATGGGAGTGAAGTTGTATTATCATACAGCTTGTAGCTACCCTTATCCTATACTCCTATGGACTTTATTGGCTAGAATAATAGTAGTATGTTTTTCATTGTAACTTTCCTGTTTTGTCCCCGTGCATAATTTCGTATGATATTGCTAGAATACTACTTTTTTTTTTTTTTTTGGTAGCCAACCACGGTATTCGGAGTTATGTCCCGACTAATCTGTTGGTCAACCCGGGTCGCACATCTAACAGTGGTGGGTGAGTCTCCCAACAAGGGTTTTCTGCATCCACAAGGACTCGAACCCGAGACCTTGCTTAAACTACTTTTAATATGTTTGATCTAACTAATAGTTCATAATCACTCAAGTTTGCAAAATAAATAACTAAATACAGAAATAAATTATTGCAATGGATATAAATATTTATATGTAAATTAAATTGTTAATATTTATACTGTTTCTATTTACTAATGATAAAATTAATAATATGATATTTTCATCATCTAACTTATGTTTTTATATATTAATACACATATATCTAACCAATAAAATTTTGTTTTCATAAATGTTTGTGCGCAAGATCGAGTACTAACAAAATTTAAAATTAAAAAAAAAAATATATTAATTAGTACTGATAATTTTTTTGGCCGTGGGCAAACAAAAATTAGTCTAAAAAAAGATTAAAAATTGACATTATGAAACATAAAAAGTAAAATGCAAGCTTTGACAAGTAGGCTTAAAAAATTTAAAAGTTCTTAAAAACAATTTAAATTTCTTAATAGTAAATAAATTTATATATATGGAGAGATCAGAGATGTTTAACAGCTAAACGAATGAAATGTTCATTACGGTACAAAGAGCTCAACCATCATATGTAGCACCAAAATTATTCTCGAGAGCATAGTCACTTCTGAAAGCTCTAACACCAGTTGAACTCATCAGGCCACGAGTAGAAAGGACACACACCAAAGCTACCTGCTTCTAAATCACGGTTTCGCTTGGAATTAAAGCATCCTTAATTACGGTCACGATACCGCTCTTGATGAAGTATCCGTCTGTCTCTCTTGCTGCTTCTTGAACGTTGTCAATGTTAATTATCTGTAACATATTAAAAGGACTTATTTTTAGAGGTTTAGCTATTCGTGTTTGTTTTATCTTTCTTCATTAAGAAACCATCAGTGTGCAATGGCTCTGTTAACATTTGTAGATAAATAACCAGATAAGAGTTTACAACCTTCACATTCTCTCCAATTCTGGCGTTTTTGTCAATTATGGCTTTCTTGATGTGAGTGTTTCTACCAATGCCAATGGGTAACTCACCTTTCTCTGCCAGGGACTTTCTGTCTGCATCAGTCTGGATATGGAAAGTTTAAAAAAAATCATCATTTTCAAAAGAAACAATGTAAAGTAGCTAATTAAAAGGCAATCTCAGTTATGTGAAGCTATAGAAATTGCATTATCTGTTGTTTGATTCTGCAGGGAGCTACTATTACCTCGTAATAATCGGCACCCATCAACAAGGAGTGCTCAATGATTGCACCCTCTGATATACAGGATCTAAGTCCAACCACAGAATGATGGATTTTGCAATTCTACACGAACAAGCACGACAGAATTAGACCATCTAAAACAAAGTTTCCATTAATTTTTACTGAGTAAATGTATGTGCTATCTAGCAAATACGATAAATAGAGACGCATGGTGGCAAAATTCTTTGCGAGTTCTAGCAGAAAAAATAATTTCATTTAAACCACATATAAAAGCTGTCTATACAGGTTGAGTAAAGCAACTTTCAGACTTTAAGCCTTATGCCCAGTTATGATAGTTTTGATGACTCACCTTGATCACGCATCCCTCACCAATGACACTATCCGTGACATCAGCATCAAGCATCTTAGAAGGAGGCAAGTATCGAGGTTGGGTATAGATTGGAGCTGATCTATCATAGAAGCTGCAAGAGATAAATTTCAAACATATCAAGATAGTTCTATATATATAAGAGGTAGATCAAGTGTAAGACAAACAAAACAAAATAAGAATGACTTACCTAAAGTCTGGGACTGGCTTTTTTGTAATTCCAAGATTGGCATTGTAGAAAGCTTCAATGGTACCGATATCTTCCCAGTAGCCATCAAACAAGTAAGCTTGCACCTGTACACGGAAAATATGAAATTTTTCTCCGGAAATGCAATGATAATTAAGAAAGTTATCGAAGTCCAGTAGTCAACCCACTTCAAAATTAAGCACCAGACACTGCCCAAAAACATAAAAGTAGAGCAAAGCACAATACAAATACTATACTACAAAGAAATGTGAGAGTGAGACTAATTGTTCCGCATGATTACTATACTAACGAAAACGAGTACTGGGATAAATTTCATACAGTAACGTACTCTTAATCCCTTGGAAGTAGCTCCAGGAATAACTTCACTCCCAAAGTCATTGGCTGCAGGAAACTCGTCCCTTAGAAGATTCAACATCACATCTTTGCTAACGACATATATTCCCATACTCGCAATGTAAGGCATCTCCTTGGCTCTCTCATCATCAAGACCCAATATTGTAGTATCAACCTTGCGAAAGGACCCAAGGGGGCAAGAAAAATTAGATGCACATCGTAAAACTAAATTCTATAATGTATGTTCTATTTAGCACATTCACCTTCATAGATTTCAGTTGTTCTCCCTTTGGTTTCTCGGCAAATTCAATGATGCGTCCTTCTTCGTCAATTTTCATCAGACCAAATGCCGTAGCCCGCTTTTCGTCCATGGGCAGGGCAGCCACAGTAATGTCGGCATCTGTTTCTCTATGGGCTTGAATGAACTTCTCATAGTCCATTCTGTACAAATGATCACCAGCAAGAATCAAGTACTCGAGAACATTGTGCTCCTCAAACAACCATAGATACTGCCTCACTGCATCTGCTGTTCCCTAAACATATTACGAAGTTGTCAGAACAAAAAGACAAAGCAAATGAAAGTAAAAGGACACCTTTTGGATTGGCCATAATACACACTTTTAGTCCAAGGAAAAGCAGCTTGCGGTATATGGGCGTATGTATGAGATGATATGTAAACGGTAAAAAAAAGGGCACATTAACGAGTACCTGGAACCAATTGGGATTTTCCGGACTTTGCTGAGCTGCGAGAACCTCAACAAAACCTTCATTCTTGTAACCGCCCATGTTGCTAGCGTACGCCCTCGAAAGGTGACGATTAAGGGATGCTGAATTGAATTGGGTTAGGACATAGATCTTGGAAATGTTACTGTTCAAGCAATTGCTCACGGGAATATCAATAAGCCTGTAATTTGCTCCGAGAGGAACAGCTGGCTTTGCTCTCTTCTTTGTAAGAGGATAAAGTCGAGTACCAGCTCCACCTCCAAGAATAATACCCAAGACACTCTGAAAAATTACCAGAATGATCATTAATCAATGCTGTGACATGACCATATGCAAAATCAAATGCAGTCCTTTTAAGCTTTTCCTGTTAAGATTAACCCCGAAACTAGTTACACGCAGTAGTTAGTCAGCAGAACAGCATTTTCACCCTAAATCTGACCCAACAGTTCTCATATAATTTTTTCGCAAGATTTTAACTCTCTTCAATCAGTTTCTTGTTTGATTCTAAACTTAACATCATAAGATACTTTTATGTACTGGATTACAGATGCATGATTTTTATATATGCATCAATTCAAGACATGTTTTCCTTTTCGAACCAGTGCAGAGCACGTCTTCCAGGTGTGGTTAATTTGAACCGAACATATACATGAACTTGGCAAAAGAAGTTCCTCTTGCTAGAAAGCAATCAAATAGTTTTTAATCTAAAGGCAAAGACTAAAATAATCAAACTACATGTGTTGCACGCCACCCTTCATCTAAATGCCATACAATCTAAATGACGCATACCGAGAGATAGAATCGCAGATCCAAATGTAACTTCGAATACATAAAAATTCAACAAACTCAGATCTCCACAATCGTGTACTCTCTTCCTTGGATAAGAAACTTATGCACACAGACCTCCCACCCAGAAAGATAAACTGAAAAAATGAAGGAAAAAGCGAACCCAATAGCCAAAAGAACATCAAATTCGCACACAATCAGTTTATTCTATACGGAAAAAGCAAACAAATTGAGCAGATTAACGGAAAAGCTCAAACTTCAGATACACATAAATCGAAATGCATCTGTGAGACCACTTTTCTGCAAGCATTGTCTCTTAAAGACTAACAGAGATTACAAAACCAACAGGAAAAGAAAAGGCAAAATTGAGATGGGTTATGTACTCTGCTGGCGTCGGGATCAAGGCAAGTTTGAGAATTCTGGGAGTCGGACACCGCCTTCGGTGAGACGAACATCGGACTCCGGCGTCCCAATTTACCACCTAAACGAAGCCGTCGCAGCCCAAGTAGCGCCGGCGGCGCGATGCTCTTGCCGGCGACGGAAACCGCGAAAGAGAGGTGCCTGGACGACGACGACTTCACAAAATCATCATAATTACAGTTTCCGGCGGCGGTCGGGTTGGAGGAAAGCTTGAAAACAGCGGTGGCAGCCATTGCCATGCGAATTTCTTTCGTTGCTCAGTGAGTGACGGAGCGAGAGAGGTTGTTAGGTGAATGAGCTGAGGTTCAGCTGATGAGTGACGACTGTGATATTTATGGGTGTAATGAAAAAGTCAATAATGGAAGGAGGTTTCTAGCGAAACAATTTAGGCAATTCAGTTGTTTGGCACAATAAGAAAGGTAAAAAATAGTAACTTTCTCTATAGTAAATTCCCTACTATATGCATAAAATAAAAAATTATATATAGTACATCGCCCGTATATTATAAGAATGCTTGCTAATTTTTTTCTTAGAATCCAAAATTAATGAGGAAAGGTAGTTGCAAATTTAAATACCTTTTATAAATATATATATTATTATATATTTAGTACTATGACACTTTTTATTTGCGTGACTTACTTATGTTATATTATAATAATTTTTTTTTAACTACAACATATAACTACATTAAACATAAATATATCAATTGAAAAATAATTTTATTTTTCTATTGAAATTTAATAAATATTATTATTTTTTATTATTATAAATATAAATATAATTTATTTATTTCATATATATAATATATGTAAAACCGATAAGAAATATAAAAGTTATCAACTTTTATACTACATTTACAATTCAATAGTTAATTGAAGAAATCAAATCAAAAGTCAGTAATATATAAGACTTAGTGCCTCACTATGTAAAATTAGTGAGAATTAAAGGGTTATATTAGTACAAGTGATATTAAAATACCTAAGTTAGCTAAATAATATTTATGGAATGTCCGAACCTAGATTATTAATTATTAATATATCACTATTATCTGTCCAAACCTAATTACGAATCATGATTCTTTGTCAAGTAGGATTCTAAAACATCAGAAGCAGCCACGTAGGCTCAGCGCATTCGGGAATTATATATAGGAGATATATATATATATATATATATATATATATATGCTAACACGGTTTTTTTATAGAGTCATCTAATGACTCGACTTATAAATCATTCATAGTTATTCACGAAATGTGTATTGACATGTGCGTTTATCGCTAAAGATTGTGTTCCAACACAGCGCCAAATATCCACGCTACTCTGCATTTGTGATAGTGTTGCGCCATATTTGACGCAACACTGTAGCGCCGCTGCATTTTTTTTTATGTGTATGCCTTTTAATGTATTATTGTTGACAAATTTAGGTATATGTGTATTAGTAAATTTATTTATTATGTTAAATAATTTTGGGTTTTTATTTACTAGTGTATTATAATTTTATTTTGTATTTTTTTAAAACTAAAATAATAACGTATGAATAAAAATTTAACACAATCAAACAAGTAGATTTCATTAAATTTAAAAGTTTATCATATATATATATATATATATATATGTGTGTGTAAACATTTTATATAAAATTAAATATACATATATGATATATATATACCAATTTATTTGAAATAAAAATGAATAAAAAAATAATATATTTGATATAGAGTAAAATGTAGATATAAGGACTGAAGATTGATGTTTAACTCTACTCTAGAGTAGAGTAAAGTCCGCGATAGAATAGATATAATGGCTGGAGATGACTTAAATACACGCTAGTACAACACCCGTGTATTACAGGAGTGCTTGGTTAAAAAATTATTTTTAAAATTTAAAATTAATGAAAAAATTATATTAAATTATAATTACTTTTTACAAAGAATATATATTATTATAAATTTTAAAATGACACTTGCTACTTGTGTGACTTGCATGTGTTATATTATAATATTTTTTATAACTTACATCATATAACTACTTGAAAAATAAATATATTAGTTGATAAATAATTTTTTTCTAATTAATAATTAATGTTAAAACAATTTTGTTATTATTATAAAGATAAATATAATTTATTATTTTGTACATAAAATATTGATGTTAAAATCGAAGTTCATCAAGAGATGACTAATTTGATATATTATATATGTAAAACTGATAAAAAATACAAAAGTTATTAACTTTTGAAATACATTTACAATCCAATAATTACAATAAGAAATAATACTAAAATTCAATTAATACATGTAACATGACCATAATTAATTAACATATTTATGACTAGTCTACACCTAATTATTTTTGGATTGGAAGTAAATTAAAATCTTCTCAAGCCTAATAAAGAAGCATGAAGCATGCAACTCTGCCAAATAGGATCCCTAAGCATACGAACATACCACTTAGGCTTAGCACGCTCTGAATTAATTAATAGAGGGATTTTTTTTTTATTTTTTTGCCTATAAATAAAAAAAATTACACAAATAGTGCAAAATATAGAGTAAATAGTCCAAAATATAGCATAAATTGCGTGCACTTTTCAGGAACTGCACAAAATTACGTAAGCAACGCCGCGTCTTTTAGCAAAAAATGCGCTATAGCGCGCGAAATTACGCCTTTGAAAACACTGGTTTTAAAATTGTATTCCTCTCATATCAATGAACAATCTTAATGAGTTTACTTATACATACAACTTCTTATCAAATTGATGCACTAGAGATTAGCTCTGAGTCGAATTTTTAGCCTTTTTTCACATTCTTTTTATGTGAATTAACACTACAAGTGCTTCAATTAGTCCCCCTAACATTTAACAACCAAAATGAATGCAAAGTGAATGTTACCCCAATGCAGCAAGTAACCCAAGCAGAGGATCTATCGGCCCCACATTTAGCTGAGCAAATATGTGAAATTTTGATTACCAAACACAAATAGAGAGAGAGAGAGAGCATTTACAAATTACTATGATGATTGATTGGAGGACAGTCCATGTGATGAAGGCCGAATTTGGGCAAATCGGTTAATAAAAATGTGTGTGTTGGGTTATCAAAGTGGAAGTTTGTTAATGGTGGTCATTTTCAGGACTATATATATATGACGAATGTTGTCACAAAGGACATGTGATGGTGATAATAAAAATAAATATCTGCGGAGGTATTGATTTTACACCGTTGGACAATTTCTTTCGTCATTTTCCTATTATATTTTTCTGCACTTATTAATTGGAGAAGTTGGTTGCATTGATTGAGTGCACAAGACGACAAACATAACTCTATTCAGAACGAGCCGAGCCGAGTCGAACATTCGTTTATTGAACATGATTGATTTTTTTTTTTTTTTAGCTGGTCGAACTCGATTCGACAAAAAGATACAATAGCTCGAACAGCTTGAATTCAAAATGCTCGAGTGAGGCTCGAACTCAGTTCAAAAAGTTTCAAGCAACTTTGTGAAATTATTATTAAGTACATATAATCATATATTAATAATATGATCCAATGACGAGGCAAACAAAAAATATATATATTATGGTCTAGTGGGTATTCTTTTTAGTAATTTAACATATATCTCAAACTGCTTGCTAGTCGCTCGACAATGTAAAATATGAGCTCGAGTTGAATTCGGGTTCGTGCTCGAGTCGCTCGAGCTCGACTCCAAATCGGTCAAACTCGAGCTCGAGCAGAGCTTTGACTAGAGCGCTCGCGAGCCGCTCGATCTGTGTGCAGCCCCAAATTGGATATAAGTTATTCCTATCATGAATAAATTCACAACTTCAAGACTGTAATAAACTGAAAAGTTGTGAAGTAGTACTCATGAATAAATTTCTAACTAAATGCAGTAAATCACAAGTAAAAAAGTTCCAAATCAGCCGAAAAAATATTCATCTGCTTCGCAGATACAACAAGAAATTTACTGCACTCCATATAATTCGTGCAGCATGTCTGTCAGTACACGTGGGATGAATAAAAACCAGAATCAAACAGGCCATTGAAAAGCCAATTGGCTCCAAAAAGCAAACAATATCAGAACAAATTTCTATGTTTGTTTCACCACAATCGGACTTCTCACATAGTGATGACCATCAGACCAAATCAGCTGCCCAAAAGCATAATCCTTGCTACCACCACCTTGCCTTCTAGCATTTACTCTAACCTTGAACCCTTTTTCCTCCCCAACTTTTTCGAACCTCAACGTGTCGGGCTCTATTTTAACCGACACTCCACGCGGGCTACGGATTCGGGCTTTGTAAGTACCCGGTGGCCCAACATTTTTAACCTTCCTGCTCACAGTAACCGAGCCATTGAGGTTAGGAACTGTGATCGAGGGGTAGTTCAAGTTGAGGAGGCTGATCGGCCGTGGACATGTGTAGGGTTCTTTAGTGAACAGCTGGATTTGAGTTCGGTTGTATCCAAGGGCACACAAGAAGCTCAAGTAATCGTATGTCGACAAGTCGTACACGAGCCCTGGGTCCATGGCTCGGTTGGGCTGGATGTGCCCTGCTCCGTAGTTGAAAGGGGTAGCTTTCGAGTAGGATGCGGTTTCCACTGGTTTTAATGTGTTATCCCGTGTCCTTGCTGAAATATAAATAAATATTATTTTTCTTTTAAAAAAAATTAAAATGTACGTAAAGATTAATGTACATACCAGTGGTCATGATGGCTGACTTAATGGCAGCAGGGCTCCAATTTGGGTGAAGGGTCTTCAAGAGGCCGACAATACCAGAGACGTGCGGGCATGACATTGAGGTGCCCGACACGGAATTAAACTCGACACGTCGAGTGTCAAAGTCTTGATTTGTGGGTCCTTGTGCTTCGGTATATGCAGCTATGATGCTCACTCCTGGTGCAGTGATATCTGGCTGAAAAACAAATAAAGAATTGTTTTAAGTAAATCTAAATACTAGATGGCTAGTTTATTTTTCTTACAAAATTTAGTAGTAGCATTAGAAGAGACCTTTAGAATCTCCGGTGTAATGGTATTTGGTCCTACGGAGGAAAAAGCCGCCATGAAAGGAGCCGGCTTCGTGCCCAACTGAGTCGTGGGTTTAGATATACGAGCCACAGGAGACCTAGAGCATTAAAAAATTTCAAGAAATTTAATTTTGACGAAAATGAAATATGCGAGCATAAAAAAAGTTGAAATAACTAGTCTGATTCAGAATTTCGAACCTGGCCGAGCTAATGTAAGAGAAAAGAGCAAGCCCGTCTGTGTAATTGATTTGTGAAGCCGGTAAAACGTGGGGGTCGGCTAAGATCTCGTTCCCAGAGGCTTTATTGTTAGCTAAAACCATTCCTACGGCGCCAGCTAAGGCAGCTTGCTCGCCCTTGTCCACCCTGGCATTTTCTCCCCTTAGGCACACCAAGATTTTCCCTTTCACCTTATTAGGGTCGAGAGTTCCGGCTTTACAGAGCTCCCTGCATTTTATACAGATCCGGTTTACTTCATGAGAATATCAAGCCTTCACATCGAAATAAACAAAAGATTTTCTACAAAATAACAAGTAAAAGAAACGGGACTCTAAAGTCTAAACCGCTTCAATAATACAAGTGCTGATGTGCTTACGCTTGTTCAGCTGTTGCATTAGCAGCTGCGGCATTTCTAGCAGATATTACAGGGTATGTCTTCTTTCTTGGTAATGATTTCGCTGAGAGGCTTTCTCCCTGCCGAACAATAACAGAGTCTCTTTTTAAGAATGTTCCTTTACACAAGTACACTGCAACTTGATAGTGTATAGTGTGTTTGTATAGGCACTGAAGTACATGGAAATAAACATGCTTCACTAGGAAAAAACACAGAATTAGGAAAAAAGAAAAAAGAAGTTATATTCACAAGCTAAGAACATATGTCTACTAATATAATAGTAACCGATGATTTGAAAACCATACAAAGTGCAGTTTCTACTGATGGTTAATTGAAAAGCAGAAAATGTTAGTGCCCAAAAGTTTGAAATGAGACCTCATAATCACAGAGGCCAGGAGCAATGTAATCATACGACAAGTAGGTACAAAGTTTAAGCCAAAAGTCCCCACGAACTAAAATTCATTCGGTTCAATCAGCTTGTCCAAGAAGCCGTTTTTACCAAAAAAATATAACCAGTACTGATTTCCAGAAGGAACCCTTTTCAGCATCACAAATAATAAGCTAACAACCTATTGGGAATAAAATTTTTACCTTGAACTGCACTTTGTTCCCCAGGACCACATAACTCGGAAACTGCCGGTCCATCGTGCTCGCCCCCACCGTGATCTGCCACGGCGCAAGATTTGAAACCGTACCTGAGGCGGGCCCCGAATTTCCAGCCGAGCAAACAACCACTATCCCCCGTCTCACGGCGTGAAACGACCCGATCGCAACACTGTCATTATGAAACGGGACGGGCTCGCCACCTAGGGAGACAGAGAGCACGTGGACCCCATCATGGATAGCCATGTCGAAGGCCGCCAGTATGTCAGCATCAAAGCACTCATTGCCACCGACAGGTGTCCAGCAGACCTTGTAGGCCGCCACACGGGCCCCAGGGGACCCGCCTTTGGCAGTGCCATTGCCAAAGCCGAAGACGCTGGCACCTGGGACGAAGCTGCCGCCAGCTGTCGACAGGGTGTGTGAACCGTGGCCCTCGGTGTCACGTGGGGTTTGGTAGGTGGAGTTGAGGGGGCCCACGATCGAGCTGTAGCCCTTGTTGAAGTAGCGGGCCCCGATGAGCTTCCTTCACATTGTTAGTCATTTCAATAATGTACTCATCAAAAAGTCCATTTTTGGAGAAGCAAATAATGACTTTTTTTGAGATGCCCATTGGAAGTAAAGTCCAATTTTTTGACAAAGAGACATTTGTAGCTCACACATGTTGCCTTAAATTAAGGATAAGGGTGGAATAATGTAGTTTGCCTGCCTATCTACTTGTGGTTTTTCTTCCTTGTTGTTGTTGTTTTTTTTTTTTTTTTTATTTGAAAACTGAAACAGTTAATTGATCAAGACTTGTTTGTTGGGTTGGGTTGGGGTTTGCAAGAACATTTTTATCAGTCAATTTTAAATTTTCAAGAAAGTCTTGCATGGCTGCAAGTTTCATAAAGCCTGCAGTGAATATTGTTGATGGTGTCCGACAAAATGCTCGAACTTAATCAGAGTGAACTACTGATAAGGTGCAAAAATGAAGTATACAGATGAGTATATAGAACCTGTTGCAATGAAAGCTGGGGTCCAAATCATTTTGGCAAATTCCTTTCCAATGCGAAGGTATCGGCCCGAATCCTTCATCACTAAAGCTTTTCGAATCCGGCCACACGCCTGTTTGCAATCACATTACACATGAGGAAAAAAGGTCCTAGCACAACAGTCCTGAAGTTAAAGTCAGACCTATGGAGACACTAGAATAATGACATGATTTGTTTAATTAAACCGAATTATCTCGATAATCAACTCTTTCGACTTACTTTAATCCGTAATCTATTCCCCGGTCACAATTACCAAAATAGAAGTCGAAAGCCGGCTAGCTAGCTAGCTAGCTAGCATCCCCATGAAATGTGGCCATGTGGGGGGAGCCATTAACCCTTTATCTCAAAGCTCATCACCTTTGTCTCCACAACCCCACATAGCACATTGCCATTATTCTAAAAAGTAGAGCTTTTAAACAAAACTATTTGTTCCATACATCAATTTAATCATGCCCATTTCCTCTCACCAGCTAATTCCCATACAGTACATGTCAAAAAAGAAACTAAAAAAAAAAAAAAAAATTAAAAGGATTTTGAATTCTTTTTTTTTTTTTAGCCAGTCACGGTATCCGAACCTTTGCCCCGACTAATCCGTTGGTCGACCCGGGTCACACACTTGGCAATAGTGGGTGAGTCTTCCAACAAGGGTTTGAAAGCATTCACAAGGACTCGAACCCGAGATAGATTCGGGTTTGACCGTCTCAATAATTGATCTTAATCAAATTAAAAAAAAAAAAAAAAAAAACTAACCTGTATCGAGATTGCCAATAATGGCGTTTTCACCGAATCTAGCCTTCTTCCACAGCGAGCCCGCACGAATTTCTCCATTTTTCTCGAGCCCCAGAAAATCCCACGACCTCGTCGTGTGTAATTTCCTTCCTCGATTCAAGAATACGGATACAACGTTCGGGTGCTCTGAGAAAATTCATGTAAACATATCATCTCACTCAGTACTAAGCAGTAGAAAAGAAAAGAGTTCTGACTACAGAAAAATGCTTCATTTTTCTTACTGGATATTTGAAATGCTTCGTTCTCTTCGAGGGTCGCTGCGAATCCATTGATGTGTCGAGTGTAAGAGTAAAAGATTGCATCTTTGGCCTTGTCACAGCTGGGCTTATCAAGAAGAATGAAAGATCATATGTCAAGTCAAAATGTTCAAGCAATTGGATCTGTTCTTGTAGTATTCTTCTTATCCTTAATAATATTGTAATGGATCCACTTTTTTTCTGACAAGAAATGAGAGATTTGAACCTTAAAAACTCCATTTTTTTCTTACATTACATGATTCTTGTCACAAACTTCACTTATTACCTTCCCAAGAATGATCCAAGAAAGTCGTAATGGGACTGTGTGACTCTATCATAATCAGAGGATGTGACTTGTGTTCCATGTGAATGAGCTCCCAAATACACCACATATGACTATACTCAAAAGAAAGAGAGAATGATGTTAATTAATGCCAAGAAAACCAAAAACACAACAAAAAAAA